ATACTTTATAAATGGTAATTTTTAGGCCGGTTTGCATTTGGCATATGATAAACTAGAAAGTTTTTAATGTCTCAATTGTTACACTTTAATTTTTTATAGGTAATCATATAACTGCAAAAAAATAAAATTATTTACGAACCTCTTCCTCTCGTGCATTTGCACTTGAATTTGCATAAAAACTCCTATTCGCATTATTACAATTTACAATCCTTAAAAGACAGAGTTTGGAACTTGATGTATCATCCGATTTTAAATCCAGTTTTCTACCAGTTTTTGACAATTCGGATTCATATTACGAAAGTGCAAAGACCGGTTTGATATTAATAAACATTTATGTTTTATTTTAAATTTAAGCAACAACCATTTTCGTTCAAACTTAAAAGCTAGATTAGCAAATTTGCAAATTCTTAGAAATATATATATTATTTATTACTAGTTTAAATTGTAAGTTAATTATTATATTATTTTTTTTTTATAATGTATAATTCTTTTTTTTGGCACATTGAATGTTTGTAAGTGCTAAACATTTTGCGAGTATTATCATATAACACGTAAATCAATTTACTATTCTTTATTTATAAAATTACCAAATTAATAAAAGAATATATTTATATCTCTTTCCAATTTATTTATAAACAATTAAAAAAAAAGAAATTTGGTAGATAATTTAATAAAATAAAAAAATTGTTCCCACTTGTATTATCTCAAATCGGGTTCATTCAACCACCATTCAAAAAAAATAAAAGCATTTTTAAAATGCAATTAATATAGTTAATAAAGACACCTTACATCAAAGTCTGTATGTTCAAGCCCGATGCCATAAAAATAAAAAAAAATGTTAGAAAAGTATTAAGTAAGTTTTTTTATTTTAAAGAAAAAAAAACAAAATAAATAAAAAAAATCTTACCTCCAATCTGATACAACCAAGGCTTTAGATCATTCTACAAAGGTAAGTTTAGTATTATCTTTTTTTAATACAAAAATAAAAAAATACTAAAGAATTTTAATTAGAACTTAATTTTAATCTAAGTTTACAAGTTTATAGATTTCGAATCAATCTTCAAAGGTAATTAATATTAGTATCTTTTTTATTTAAAAAAAATTACCAATAAAATATTTATTTAGGACTTATCTTCGATCTGATTCAACATAAAAAAAAAAAAGTTATACCTCCGATCCATGATTCTAAGGTTTTACAAAGGAAGTTAATGTCAATTTCATAAATTTAAAATATTATTTTTAAAAAAAAAAAACTTTAATAAAATTCTTACCTCAGATCCGATACCAATCCAAAGTTTCAAGAATTTAGACTGTTCTACAAAGGTAAGTTAGATAATGTTAATTTTAATAATAAAAACAAGAATGCTAAAGTAGGACTTACTTCCAATCCAGATATACATTTAAAGCAATCTAAAATGTATGTTAATGTTATACTTATTTTTTAAAAAAAAAGGTACTAACAAATTTCTCCATTAATGCTTACTTACGATCCGTTTAGATTCAATCCAAAATCTTAAGTAACCTGATCATTCTACAAAGGTGAAGTTTAGTGATAGTTTTTTATAAGAAATATAAAAACCTAAAATTATTTTAAACTTACATTACAATTAAAAGTTTCAGGATTATATCGGTAAGTTGATTTTTTTGGACTATCCTCCAAGGTAAGTTATTTGTAATTTTATTTTAAAAAAAAAATAAATAAAAATTAATTAATACGTCTAATGAATTAATTCCCCGGTTCTTGACGTTTCAGTTTGCCATTATTCTAATAAATGAAGAAAAAGACGTTAAAAAACCGTTTCTGAAGTAAGAGCTAGTAATTAAAGAAATACTAACTTAGCTTCAAATTTCGATCAGTATAGTTGAATCCCTTTCGCCTAAAATACTATGTACTACGAGGTTTTGGGAGAGGGTATAATAAAAATAAAAATAAAAAAATAAAATTTGTTTTCCATCGTATTCATCAGATGGATAATCCGATCTATCCGCAATTCGTCTTTTCGAAGGATGGTTCATCAGATATCCGGATTGATCAGATTCAGACGTTTCTATAATTTATTTCAAATACATTCAATTCCTTGAACCCAGAGAAAATTTCTTGATTGCTTTTTTTTTTGAGTAAATTAGAATTGACTGTATAATACCAATAAGTTTTTCAAATATGTCCTATATTAATGATATTTGTTTCATAAATGTAAAATGAAGAGATATTGATTATTACGTAAAATAAATAAATACACTAACCATATTTTCGATATTAATGCAATATACGGTATATTAATTATTTTGTTTTGATTTTACCAATCCAACATTTCAGGTGTTGTTTTAAGTAATCACTTTTTTTTTAATATACTGTTACAGAGATAAATTAGTAATCTAATTGTCCTATCGTGTTCGATTAGTTGCATTGTGTCTCAATGACCTAATTGTTCCCTGGCCAAATTGTCTACTGGCCAATTTGTCTCCTAGCCAATATGTCATCCGGCCATCATGTTTCAAAGACAAAAAGACCTCTGAACAATTGGTTCTTGTTGAATTATAAGTATAAAAAGTGTGAGATTTTGCTTGAGTAGAAAGGTGTATTCCCTATGTTCCCTAGATAATAACAATAGATAGTATTAGTATAGTCGTTAACATATATCCCCTTTCCATTCATTTGTAATGAAAATGAAAGTATATAATAAATTACGTATTGATCATATGAAACGCCGACGATTGAAGCAATACCTTATTAACGTAGATTTGGATTAGAATACAATTGTTATAAATAAAAATATTAAATAAAAAAACCATATGCTTACCTTTTTTTTTTGTTTATAACTTATAAACGTCTCGTCCAAGCACAGATGATGAAAATTGTGTAAAAAATCTATTTTTAAAAATTTTCAACAACCATCTAAGAAAATTATTTTCTAGTATATAGATAAAGTATTAAAAGCTGAGACCGAACTCGTTAAGTGAACTTTCTTGCAACATGTATTCATTTCTAAAACAGCTTGCTTTGCGTATTGATGACAAATTTTGTTGAGATATATCTGAAATTAAGGATATTGACGAAGATGTGTATTAATTAGATTCCAAATATAAGATCAACATTCTTTAAGTCAAAATTTCGTTGTTTTATATATAATATTGGAAGTTTTATACTCGACATTGATAAATAGTTCGTCTTTGAACTTGAGCATTGATTGTGCAAAATCACATCTGTTAAAAATAATGAAAAAACTCCTAAAAATTAAAATTTTGAAATTATATTTAATTATTCACAATATGGGAGCTGATCTATTAAAAGTGGGTTACGAGACATAGTAAATCATATGATCCTTACCTCAATTTTAATAGAATACTACCCATATTATATATCGTATTTCAAAGAAATGTAATCTTTATGAAAAATAATAAAAAAATTAAAAAAAAATTTTGAGTTGTAATTGATACCGATGATCACAAGATGCCTGAAAGAACACATATTGACTTAAAGGTGAAAAATGCATCATTTTATCTTTCTTTTAAAATTACAATCAAAATTTTGACTTTAATAACTTTTTTTTTTTTTTAGCTATTTAAACTTGTTTAAAAAAATAAAAGGGATAAAAATTACATTATCTGGTTCATTAAATTTCACTTGCCATCATAGAGAAACCATTTAGTTTAAATTAACAAAATTAAATTTTGTGCGACGCGTGTATTGCATATATATATAATTGAATAACTTCAAATAATAATCTGAGATTTCTACTAAAGCAAAATTAATTTCAGCCTATTTATTAAAAGGTGGTAACATGTGGCCTACATCCCACTCAGATCAAGTCCAGTTGCACCATAATTATCTTTATTTCTTTATCACATTGTTTTATTTAATAAAATACAAATACCACATAAATCTGTTTCACACGACATCAATATTTTTATATATTAAAATCTGAGCCCAATTACTTTTGCCACATCTTCAAATTGTGTTTTTTAATGAATTACAAAATTATTTATAATTCAAATAAAACCTCATATTATATATAATTTACTATAGAAGATAATCGGGTAATTTTTCTTTTGCTTTTAGGTATTTGAAGTAAAAATAACTGAATAATCGAAATGAAAATTGGTTGAAACATGATTATTAAATAATAATTTTAACACAGATGAGTGGCATCAGTAGAAAAAGGGGGAAATCCAAATTTTGGTCAAAATTTGATCTGTCATGTGCACAAAATTAGCTAAAATTTAGGATTACTCTTTTTCATAAAACAAATTATTATTATATTTATTGAAGTATTTCAAATTATGTAATACAAAGATTTGAAAATTTTTGCTCCCTCAAATGTAATTTTGTTGTAACGTTAAATTGTTTCTTCTAATGCAAGGATAATGAAACGGATTTACCTAATATTTATTATTTTAATTGATAAATTTTATCATAAAATATAAATATTATAATGCTTTACTGTAAATATACAAAACTTTTCATAAATTGATAATTACATTTATTTTTCTTGTATTTTCTTCAAAATAAATCCGTTTGATATTGTTAAAGCAAATATAGGTTAAATTTATGTTTTAGAATGTAATTATCAATTTTATATGATCAAGGGAAAGGAAATGATTTTTGTAGATATGTAAAAAAAAATTTTAGATCAAATTTTTAACAAAATCATGACCACGCATATTAGGAATTGATCACGATAAACCGGCGACTGACTGGAAAATTTTGCCTGTAACCCAGTCATTATGAAAATTGATATTAATTCGAAAAAATATATTATACAAAGCCCATAACATCGAAGTAATAGAAAGATTCGATTCGCTGTTTAATTTGCATCTTATTATAAAAAGGAATAAAAAAAAAATAAGTCCTTTTATAGGTATCAGAAAATAATGTTTTAAAGCGAACAAGATGACAAGGAAAACACATATATCTATCTTTATAATGTTATTTATTGGCATGACCAAAATTTGAATAATTTAAAAATGATAAAATATATACTCCTAATGAATTCAATATTTCAATAATAATTCATATTAGCATTTGATAACTCATATAATTGCTGTTGCAATTCTACTTGTTGTTTAAGAACCCTTATTCTTTCTTGCTGTCTTTCCATCCATTTTTCATATTCATCATCATTCGTCAGCTGTGGAATTGCTAAATACAATTCATTTAATTGTTTTTGAAATTCAATTTGTCGTTGCATAACGTCGATTCTTTGTTCTTCTTGTTTCAACCATTTTTCATGATCTTCACCAGTTGTTGAGAGTTCACGTAAATGTTTTTGCAATTCCACATTTTGTTGAAGAATGCTTATCCTTTCTTGTTGTTTCGCGAGCCAATTTTCATGATCTTTAACATTTGCCTGTTGCAAATTAGGTTCATTTCGAATCCTTGGTGGTGGTGGTATTGGCGTTAAAGTTCCAAATGGTCTTAGGTTAGAACTGGAATTTGTAACATTGACCTTTCCCTTTTCTGTATAAAATGAACATATTGAATTAAAAAGAATCCTCATCAATAATATTAGAAGTTTACATTAAAACTCACCAGAATAACCTGCTTCAAACTCAACATTATTAGCGTTTTTTGGTTCCGGAAGATTGTTAAATTCCAAAGGCCTGCTCATATAGAATGCTTGTGGATGTGTTTTATACATAGGATTATCTTCAGTGGTTGATACAGCTGATAATTTTTTATTGTGTTCATCTGCTTCTTTGGATTGCTTATAGAGTACTGAATTTTTATCATCAAGATCTATATTTAATTCCATTATAAATTTACATAATTTTAATGCATTAGGACGTTTTAAAGGATCTGCGTCCAAACATTGTTTAATTATGTCTAAAATTTTCTGTGGAACTTTATAATTGGTCTTTGGTCTCAACCCTTGACAGATTCTTGTAGCCAAGAGTTCTTCATGAGCCATATCATAAAACGGAGGCAACCCGGTAGTTATTTCGTACGCTATAATTCCAAATCCATAAATATCACTTGCTTGGGTACGATTTTTTCCTTTTAAAATTTCGGGAGCCAAGTAAGGTAACACCCCAAATACTTGCTTTTTGTCATTCTCTGTAGGTTTTAGATTTGCTGGTTGATAAATTCCCAAATCAGTGATGATGGGCATATTTTTTGTTCCATTCATATTGTTTAGTAAGTTGCCGCAATGAAGATTATGATGAATTAACCCACTATTATGAATATTTTTGAGAACTTTTGCAATTTTTCTTAAGATGTACAACTTGTTCCCCCAATCCATGATTTTAAAATTTTTATCTAAATATGTTCTTAAATTACCATCATCTACATAATCCATTACCAATATAAAATTATTTGTGTTTGGATCTTTGGTAATACCATAGAATTGAACTACGTTAACCATATCATTGATTATAATGAGTGGTTCAATCTAATAAAAAAAAATTAATAATTGTATTTGTGATAATGAATATAAATAGATATTAAATTTATAGAATTAAAAAAAAATTTACTTCTTTTAAAAATTCGGCCGTAATATCCTGTGAATTATGTAAGGATTTTAAAGCAACGTTATCCCTTTTCCATTTTGCTTTATAAATGGTTCCAAATCCTCCTATAGCCACATATTCAATATCTGTCAGAGTATCGTGTCCAATCCACTCTATCGCTTCATTTTTATTCTTCGCTTTGAGTTGTAATTTTTGAATGAATGCGTCAATGTTATGATTTCCACTTGTCCAATTTGTGAAATTTTGCTCAAAACATTTAACTTTGCATGTTTGACACCATTCACTACCAGTATTCGGTTGCTCACATTCTTCGCATAAACCATATTCTTTATAACGTTTTTTCAAATTCTCGTTTAATATTAATCTATTAATTAATGATTCTTGTTCCTTAGTTAGATCTTCGTAATCGAAGTCTTTTATTTGCTCAATTACTTCATCACTAAGTTTAATATCCATATCGATAAATTAAAAATAGCTAAGAGAAAAAATAAAAATGTAGTGTACCATTTTTTCCTTCATTTATTGACAATCATATGAAGTTTAAGCTAAATATGGATTTATTATGATTACGTAACTAATCGTAATCTGTGTAACGATGATGAAAATCGAGTACTTCGTTGGAAAGTCTAATGATATTCAGAATAAACTTTTTATTCGTAACGTAAAAAAAAATGCATTTCATTCTCGATATAAAATTTTAGTTTATAAAATGAACTTGGAAATGATTGGCAAATCAAATCTAGTTAACGGACTCGTCAACTCGTGATTCGAATTTATCGTGATTCGAGTGAGGTGATTTTAACTCGTGAGTCAATCAATAGTTAATATCTACATGTGGGGTTTGCTAGAAAAAAGGGCTTAAAAAATGCAATAAAAATTAAAATTTTCTTAAAAATTCTCGGAACCCCATTTTCTTAGCAAACCTCACATATATTAAAAAAATATACCAAATTTTCATCTCAAAGACGAAATGTTCAAAGAAAATTATAAACAATAGTGATGAAGAGAAAGAAATGAGAAAAAAATGGTAGTCAAAACCTTCAATTACCTCAATCTTAGGAAGTCGTACTCTTAGGAATTTCGTTTGTGACTTTAATGGGGTCACTGCAACTTGTTAGGTAATATTGGATAATGTGAAGAATGTGGAGTTTTGTATTATGATAGCTCGTAACTTATGATATTCAAAAATAATTCTCTGGACCTAAAAAAAATAAAAAAAATATTTTTTCTTAATTTTCAAAGTCATGATTATTAAAATGCTCAATTGATTTAATAGCATTTTATTATCGTGACTCGAATATTTGACTCAACAGTTTTCAGTAAAACTAATGAGGTTTTTAGAAATATTTGACGTAATCGCGAGAAGTATAAACTAACGCTCATATTTGATCGCATAAACCCAGCCTGAGTATTCATGGCCTCATACTTAAATCCTGTTTCGTTTACCGATGCGATGTGAAGTATTTGCGAAACGTATTTGTTGCGCATGGCTATTTATCACTAAAGCTCGAAATGCTTGTCTTTTTGTCTTTGTCTTGAATATTGGGTATGCGAAAATAATAGCGGGATCTCCCTTAAAGAGGTATGATGAGTTCTTTCTTTTTGTAAAAAAGATATCGCTGGTCCTAATAATACTATTTTTCTAGATTTATAAATTTGCTTTCATTACTGGAAATTATTATTTTTTATATATATATAGTGATTATAGTTGGATAGTGAATCTTGTACTTGAGGACATAAACCGAATCCCCTTTTAACCTCGACAGTCAGGTCGAGAAAGTGAGACGGTTAATTACTTCTTTGCAAATTGTTTTTTCTCAAGCTTATGGTTCTGCTTTTTCAAAATTTCGATAAAGGTTTCTAGTTATCAAGATTTATTTGCCTAGCACACTCACATGACTCGTAGACAGATGAGTTAGTTCCGTTGGTAAAGTACCGAATCATCAACTCTATTTGTAGCACAGGATCGTCAAACAATGAAAATCTTAATAGATGACAATAGAGTACCCCGTGATGTTCGAAAAATTCGCTAAAAAAAAAAAGAAATCATCATCCTTTGACTACATCCCAACCTGTGAACTATTTCTTTTTCCTCTTTGGTATCACATACTAGTGAAATATGATTTCTGATAAGTTTATCATAACTTTAATAAATAAATCTCGCAAACTGAACGAGAATTCGTCATAACAAGCTCCGTCAAATTTCAGCGTGAGGATACGCAGTGATAAAATTATGAACCCTCGTCTTCTCGCGTTATTTCTTTTATTCGTCATCAAATCAAATGAAAAACTCAAAATTCTAGAAGGGTTGTAATAATTTGATAATATTAAAATGACTTACCATCTTTAGAATGTTCACGCGTGTTCTGCTAACATATTATTTATCACGAGATGAGATTTGTGTCATATGACGACGGGCTAAGGGAGTCGATCCGAAGACCTCTCTCGTATTCATCATCCAGACGCTTGCCCACTGTGACCGAAGTGATCAATTTTAAAATTTAAAATTTCATTTTATGATGACTAAAAATGTGTTATCACATGATGCATTAGCAGTATGGAGTGGAGACCTTAAATATGTGTATTTTTTTGCTCAGTAAGTAGAAAAGGTATTTCTGGTTTCTACATTACTTTTAAAATTCTTTAATAACTAATACTTATAAACTGAAACCTGGGAATGACTTATTAGATTTTTTTTAGCTAGGCAGTGTAATAGACACCAAAGATATGGGAGAACAGCTATGCCATGGATGAATTAGGGAGATAATACTGACCATGATAAAATGTACATTGATAGAGAGCCACATGTTTATTAATAGTGTAAGTTTTGTCTCCAAGGAAGAACATATTGAGTACTGACCATCCAGAAAAAAAGGCAGGTAGAACACTAAAATTATTTGTTTGTTTAAGTAATGTAATCTGTGACGCTAACTTTTTTTTTATTTATAGAAATATCAAATGTTATAAATCAACCTACAGATGTCAGCTGTTAACGCTGTTAAAATAAATATTAATACAACAGGACCGTTTATAACTTTCAGAATGATATCAAGACGGAAATCGACAACAAATTTTGAGAAAACGACCCAAAAACCTACAGTTATAGTAGGTCAAAATTCCACTCAATGGGAAAAAATATTGACCGCGGTCAATGAATGTAATATCGATATTGAGGAAGAGTTTGTTAGCATGGCATGAAATATTCTAACATGTCCAACAAAAACCCGTTAAAGGGAACAAATCATTGCAGAGCTAAATCAAAATCACGAATTGATGTGTGTATATTATATATGATCTTGAATCTGATGTTATCAAAAATATCTGCTATTCATCCCGCAACCAACGAAATTTAAAGCTCCTGGAATCAATAATGTACCGTATATATTTTAAATATACTCCTACCACTCTCGTATCATAGAAGACTTGATTATGCAATCAAGAAAGAGACGATATTTTTTTTCCGAACAACATATCTCTAAGCAGCCGAAGACGCTTATGGTAAAGGCTCCGTGTAAGATCTTTTGCGTATGTGTTATCAAAGGAATTGGTAAATAAGCGGAAAGGTCTACAGTCATTAATAGGTACGTCATGTATTACGAGCTCGCTCCCGAACTTTTGTATTTTTTTTTAATTGTAACTAGGGTACCCAACTCAAAATTTATTTAAAACATTGTCATCATCGAAAATAAGCGTTATTGCGCCTTCGATGATTATGACAAAAGAAATTTACGAATAGACAATAAGGGATTTAGGCTGGTTATAGTGTAATATTAAAGACTTTGTGGGACGATCGAGCTGATCTCTCATGATGACGATTTAGATGGAACTTTGATACCAAGTTCGGGAATAAGAATGACGACGTTCTAGATATTGACGGAAATACGATAATTTTATTTTATTTTATTTTCATGTGATACAATAGCCAATGGCGCAAAAAGTTCAGCTCGTTCATTGCAAATAAAAAGTTTTTAACGCTGCATATTATCTCGTAGACAGTAATGATTTATTTCTATATTCTAATTTATTCTTTGAGAAAAAATTTTACGATGATCGACATTATCTTAATAACTGGCTTTCTTTATCAAATGCATCAACATTGAATAGACTTGGATTATAATGATCATAAATAAAATTGCTTTTCTCTATACTATATTTATTTGTTTTCTTTGTAACCTCCCTGACTAAAAACAGCTAGTTACACCAATCGATATATTACAGGAATAAGAACTATTTATTTGTCAATTTTTCTTTTTTTTTTAAAAAAAAATTTCGTAAAAATTACAAACTGAACTATTATCCAATCCTCTCCTTGACTTTGAACATAATTACAATACATATTGTTATATTTTCATATATATTTAAAAATAAATAATACATACTTTTCATTTCAATAACTCGAGAGTCGTATATTTCCAGATTCCTAACCAAACTAAATGCACTAAAGGCTAAGTTATTTTTGTTTATTACAGTAGAGGGATTACTCAAAAAAACCGCTCTCTTCAGTAGTATTTGTTGAGACCCCGGGATACGGACTCATTAAAAAAGAGAATAAACGTTAATCAAAACATGAATAAAATCAAAAAAATATACCAATAAATTCTTCAGCATTTCGTCAAATTCTAAATATATATACTTGATGATTAGTAAATGAAATTTTTATGAAAATTTTTATGAAATATATGTATGAAAATATAACAATATTGTTCAAAATCCAAGTACAAATTTAAATCTAATAACACGAGAGGAAAAAATAGTATGTACGAAAAGACGAAAAGAAAGGTTAAACTTGTAAGTACAAAAATCATCACACGAGTGGTATGAAAACGAATAAAGAATATTTTTTTTTTGGACGTCAGAAACTGAAGTAAACTGAAGAGTAGAAAGTAATTTTCATGGGAAAATTTTAATGAAAATGTAAAAACAATGTGGAATTCTACCAAATTAGGATTCTTAACATAAGTTAAGTTTAATTTCATTGGTTAATTGACGAGGTTTCTGATTGGCTAAAATCAAAAAATTTAACTTCGCAAATGTCCGATTTTACGAAAAAAATCCAAGATCATCTATTTTGTTCCTTTACTAAGAAAGTGTTTCGCGATCACTAACTTTAAATTCTTCGCATCAATTGAAACATTTTATTATCAATGTCAACATTTAATAACGGGAACAAGTAATTACGGAAATTAATTTAATCTCAAATGAACTTTCCCAAAAATTTTTCACTCGCATGTGACTTGCATTCTAAAAAAGCAGGAAGGGTGTGACATGGGTAACAAAGCAGACATGTAATGATCTCCTTATACCTAAATGTGTAACAGGTTACGTCAGATGTATAGGCGGTTAACATTACTTGGCTGATCTCGGTCATGTTATTAAGCTTAAACAGTACATCATTAAGTTAACAAAATTTATTTACTAACAGGTTTAATTACGTCTAAACTATGAAAGAAATAAATATGAATTAATTCAATTGAAGGGTCAGGTCATCTTTATTAATATAAATTTAAAGAAAAATGAATTTATAAGCAAGCAAAAATAAGTTTTAGAGATAAAATTTACTGATTTATTAGAGATTTGTAATAAACTCTACTACTTATCAAGGCAAAGTAAAAATACATCAATATGGAATTAATATTTAATAAAGTAAAAAAATATAGTAAAGTAAAAAAATTAAATATATATAAGAAATTAAAGAAATTAAAGAAATTATAAATCGCTAAGAATTATAGAAATTATAGAAATTAAATAAATGATAAAAAGTTAATATTTGTGATTATTAGAATTACCCCTTGTCAATTATGTTTGACACAGTATCATGTGACATAATAAGACTATTACTATCAAAGTAGCTTTATAATTAAAATTAATAAAATTTTTGGATTTTTCCTTTTTTTACTAACTGACTTCCATATAATATAGTATGGTTCAGTGCAAAAAGATTGATACACCTATATGTTTATAATAAAACTTTTTTTTTTAAATTTAATGTAAATTATTAAATAATTTTATTTATAATTTAGGTTTTAAGGTATAATTTAATATAAGCTTTATTATAGTTTTAAGTTCAATACAAAAAATTTTATTAATCATCAATTTCGTCAATCTCGAAATCTTCGTCATCATTATCGGTCAATAACATATCATCATCTAAATCCTTATATTCTTTGGCCTTATTAAATGCCCTTTTTCAAAATCTGACAATAACTTTAGAGGTAACCTTTTCTTTAAAAGCATGCAATAATTTATCTCTAATAGCTAAAAGATTAGAATAGGAGCAGTTCTAGCAACTTCATCTTTTACAGTTGACCAAACTCCCTTAATCAGTTGAAGTTCACAATGGTAAGGTAGAGTTAAAAACAATTTATGGTTATATTTTGCAGCTATTTGAACGCACTTAAAAGGAACCTTATTTTTATGTAATTTTATTAATTCATAAAGTTCTGTCTTGTTAGAATTTTCTGGAATATTAACGCCATTTAATAATAACTATTTGGTCCTCGTATCCTTTTTTAAGTTTGATATTATCACTTATTCAACTCAGCGCTTATGATACCTAGTACCATTCATATGAATATCAACTGACCCATAGTGTTCTTTAATGTTGACGCAAAATTTATCAAACAAGTCTTCAAATATTTCAGCCATAAAATTGTCATGGTAATCAATTTGATCAGCTACAATATTGGAATTTCAAATAACATCAGGAATATTATCTCAGGCATCAGCATTAGCCCATTTTCTTCCTCTTGATGAAGGTGGTTTAATTGAGAGATCCCATAATAAAAGAGAATTAGGAACAATTTTGCCAAAAAGTTTATTAGAATTACCATTACGCATTACAATTATCGTATCAAAAATAACGATTAGAGGTCTGCGTTCAGGTGAATATACAACCCAATAACTTGACATCTAAGTACGACTTGTAGTATGATATAAGTGGTAATATGATTCATCTAAGAATACTTCCAGTCTAGAAGGAACATTATTTAGCCCTGCAAATTTTCAAAACAATCCTGTAAATAATGACCATGAAATGCAATGTTTTGAGAAGATTCATGCAATATATTTCAACGTTCACGCTGACCAAAATAATATCCTAGCTTGTGAAGTATACGAAATAACTGCCATTTTGAAAGTGTATAGTTGTTTTCTTCAAGCTCATGTCACAATTTATTTGTTGAAAGTGGCAAGCCAGAATGGTTAGAAGACATAATAAAGATACATATAACTTCAACAATATTATCATTAAGTTCTTTTTTTGGTCTTCACTATATTTTTTGTGGTAACTGTTCATCACTTTTATCTTTATTGTACTTGGAAATTACTTGCGCAACTGTTGCCTTTTCAATTCCAAGGACCGTAGCAACCTCCTTACGTAGTAGTAAGTCTTGATGCTGCTTCTTACTCTGTCAGATATCAAAAAAGTATTGATGGATATGAATGAACATCTTTTTTTCATTACTAGTCAGGTAGCTTCTGTCTCGTTCTAAGTTATCCATTTGAAAAGGAAAGACAGTTAAATTTTTTTTATTTTAAAGTTTATAACCATCCTTACCTTAAATATAATTCATATAATCATGATGATCGGTTAGTGAAGTTCTGTGTAAAACAAGAAAATCAGGTAACGATCTTCATGTATCAATCTTTTGCACTGGATCATATTTTAAATTACATATTTGAAATGATCAACAAATAATCAATACATGTATCACTAGTGTTCTGAGCCTGTCGAATTGACTCGGGTCATTTGACCCGACTCAAGAAAAAATTCAAATCAGGACTATCATTTTATGTCACAAGTTCTAATTTCTTAAAACCCGTCAGGTTAAGATCTCGATTTTACTTGACCCGGGTGACCCAAATGATCAGGTAATGCTATTAAATGATATCTAATAAGGGAGGAAGAAACTAGTACAATACAGTTCAGCTGATTAGTACAGTATGATCATGCAAATAAATATGATCCTCCAAATTTTGATCATACTGTACTAGTTCTATAATATTATTGAGACCAGTACAATACGATCAAAATTTAGAAAAGTATTATACCGTACTGTACTGGTCTTATAATAGAAAGTACTTATATATAGAACCAGTATGATACAGTACGATACTTTCTATTAACTGACTGCACTGGTTTTCTATATACCCCAATTTTCTATATATGTTAATGATTCAATGATATTAATAATAATTGATGTTGCATTCGTCAAAGTGTTCTTTCAAAAAAAAAATTCCTTTAATAAAATTAAATAAATCGAGGAAGGAAAATCAGTATGAATCGTCTGATTAGTACAGTACAAAATATGATTGTATTGTACTGGTCCCAATAATATTATAGAATCAGTACGGTATGATTATAATTTGAAAATTCATACTGATCTGCAAAATCGTATCATACTGATCAGCTGAACCGTACCGTACCAGTTTTTCCTATACTCTATTTAATATATGCAACTTTTTGAGTGAAATTATCAACCTTATTAATTACAGCTTCTCTTGAAATAATTGTGAAGTGAACTTTTTGTCAAAGAGCTTTTGAAGAGAAACTTCTTCTACCTAAATATAAATTCAAAAACACATCGAGAAGTTATATGCTAATATTATTTTAAATAGAATATATTATAGATTGATACTTTTTTTCAAAAATATTAATAGACATAAAATGTGGCTTCGCAATATTGGTAATTCAAATACAACAAAATTATGTCATTATTTAGAGTGCAATCATATGAA